CAGGTCACGGACTACAGAGTCCGAGATGAAGTTGTGTGTTGACCCACTGTCTACTAATAGCAGAACCTCCTTAGAAGAGATAGATCCAAGGAGCTTCATAGTGGTTGTTGTAGGTCGTCCCAGAATGGCATTGAATGAGATCTCGGCCTCCTCTAAGGTTTCAACTTCTTGCTCTTCCACAGAATCCAACTTCTCCTGCACTGGATTTCCCTCGTCGTCAATTTCCATGAGGGAGAAAGAACTGGAGCAGCGATGACCAGGCCTGAATGGGTCGCCACATCGGAAACATAATCAATCCCTTTTCGCGTCGGCGTTGTCGTTCGGACTCCATGAACGAGCTCCTGGTAGGTGTCGTCAAAGAGGGTGAAGACGAAGGCAATGTTTTTTGATGGTCCGATGACGACAGTATACTTCCTTTCTGTTCACGTGTTGAATAATTTTGAGGGTAAAGTGGGTTGCTGCGATTTGGGCCAAAAGCAGCATTAGATCTGGACCCTCGACTCGAAGGTTGCTTTCTCTCAAACTCCAGGGCAAGACTTGCAGCCCTGTACACATTTTGTGGCTTGTGAAGCCGAACATCTGGTCGCAATTCTTCCTTGAGGCCGTTGATGAAAACCCCTAGAAGGCAGTGCTCAGGCCATCTTTCAATTCGAGATGCCCTTCTTGCAAACTCTAAGCGGTACTCAGTCACAGTACCACTTTGTTTGATACTACAAAGGTATTCGTTTGGATTTTGATACTCCGGTGGACCATAGTGTTCTTGGAATGCCTTCACCAAATCTTCCCAATAAAACAACGTTCTCTCAGTGCTCATCCATGAAAACAGGTCCAAAGCATCCCCTTCAAGGTACATGGAAGCCACATCCACCTTATCATCCTCTGGAACGTCATAGTAACGGAAATACTTCTCTGCTTTGAGGACCCATCCTCTTGGGTCGCCTCCTGTAAATTTTGGGAATTCCAGTTTTGCATGTGGTAGCCTCGAAGCACGCCGAGATGATTCATATTCCTGATCGCTATCATCTGCGCGATTGCGCTGTTTCCCTTTTCCACTATTACGGCAAGATGAATTTGCTTCCAGAGCCGTCACCTTTTCTTGTAAAACATCTAGAGCTGCCAATCGAGAGGCAATGGTTGCCAGAGGATCCTTACCAAAGGGATTTTCCTGATTATCTTCTGGATTTGAGTTAGTATTAGAGGAGCGTGTGATAACCATATTGGTTAGAACGAGGCTTTGATACCAAAATGATAGGAGCAGGACGGTATTATGAAAAATGAAAGATAGAAACTGAAGAATGAATTCTCTCCTAACCCTCTCACAATAAGAATCTCACTGAGAAGAGGTAATAGAAGCCAAGGAGTATCTCCAATGCTATGAAATATATTGATAAACTGATATCCTTCCAGGAGGATGGACTAGCATATTTATAATGCTGGAATACAAAGAAATAACCAAATATCCCTACTTTTTAGGCACTAACAGAAAGATAAGACTAACTGACCATGACAACAAGAGTGGACCTATTATTGTGCTAACAGATGCCAATTATTGTGCTAACAGAATGGAAACACATTTTAAATTAATCAGACTTAGTCAAAACGTAAGCCCTATTATTGTGCTAATAAAAGAATTAAACTCAGTCAAACTTAAGCCCTCTTTTTACGCCTCTGATAAGTCCTGATTGGTTTGGGATTTGTATCAGAGACGCTGCAAAGAAAAAGATGCGGAAGTTTGCCTTTGCCTGCACCACTTTCATGGTTTAGAAAGTTTGGAGTGAGGTCTCTTTTGATCATAAGTCATTTGATATTATGTCCATTGTATGTAAAATCAAAGTTATGGTTTACATTATCCTTTGGCGCCTTTGGCCCTATGCATATATTGATTTTTAGCTTGGCCTGCGTGCCTTTGTACTCCTTGGTTGGTTCGGCCTGCGTGCCCTGTCATCTTGTTTTATATGTTTGACTTTAGGATTACTACGGCATTCCCTTGCTCACGGGTATGCCCGTTATATTTGTTCATTGTTTCTTCTTTAATATTATTTACCGGTTACCGCAAATAAATTCTCTGGGTTGTCTTGGACATAAAAACCATTTTTCATCAACATAAACAATATTATTAAAGGTCTTAAATCCAGGTTTAGAGGAGATACTTGAGGGTTCTAGTTGTTTGTAACAGAAAAGAAGCCTTGCATGCTTGTTTGCTTCAGTTAACAAGGATTTGTTTAATTGCATTTGTGTGACTTGTGAACAAACCTTTTTGAATCCCATGGTGTACAGTTGACTTAGGTACACCTAATGTTATGGTAAGAGTTCTGATATTTGTTCTTTGCCTTAATGGAATGTCACATATTGCATTAAGGTCTACATCAATTCTTTTCCTACCAGGATTGTTGTAATTTGTTTGAAAAAGAAAAAGAAAAAAAGAAGATGAAATGTCAAAGGTGGTGGCCATCCCACATCGGATGGAAGTTTGTATTGGGAGAGGTTTCTAAATTATAAATTGAGCTCCTTCCCCTTTGTTTTGTTCATCCAAAAATTCAGTATTCTCTTATACTCCCTCCGTCCCTCTAAGATGTTCTCATTTTGACTTTTGGTGGTTTTTAAGGAGAGTTAAAAAAAGGTGAAAGTTTACCATAATACCCTTAATGAAAATGGGTGCAGTGTATTAAATGAGATGGGTGAGGTGTAATAAATAAAGTAAGTGGGGGGTAGTTGTGGTATTTTAATTGTTAAAAAATGAAATGAGAAGATCTATTGTGGACAAAGAAAAAGGGCTATTGGGAAGATCTATGGGGGACGGAGGGAGTACTATTTTAGAGATTTAGAGATATTTTTTCTCTTGGAGATCTCTTGAAAATAGTATGTTAAGAGTTGCTGTGTGAGAAAAATATTGTGTATTATATGGTGTAATAATTTTCATATAGTGAATATTTTTCTGGGAGGTTCGTGGTTTTTCTCCAATTAGGGAGTTTTCCACGTTAAATCTTTGTGTTGTTATTCTTTTCAAATCTTTTTTTTTCTATTTTGCTTGAAGCCAGTCTGGGCGGGAAAAAAAACCTATAGGTCATTTTTTTCCCTAACAAGTGGTATCGGAGCCAAGGTTTTGTCTTAGTATGCTCTATGGTTGCAGCTTTGTCTGATCTTCCACATCAGAAAAGAATTGCTTTGGTCATTTTAAGCAGAAGATTTATTCCAGGCTAAGGTTCTGTCTTAGTATGCTCTGTGGTTCTGATCTTCCACATTAGAAAAGAATTACTTTGGTCCTTGTGAACAAAAGAAGTTTTCATTCCGGTGGAGTAGCAAGTGGAGCTTGATTCTGATGCACATTGATGTTCTGGTGGAGTTGCTTTGGGGTACTTGTATTTTTGGCAATAGTTTGAATAAGTATAATTTTGGGGGTACTTTTCATTACTATTGTCCATTTATTAGTAGTACTAAGAAGCAAGATGGAGACGAAGTTTGAGATTGAGAAATTTGATGGGAGAAAAAATTTTGGCTTGCGGCAAGTGCAAGTCAAGGATGTGTTAATCTAATCTGGATTACACAAAGCATTGAAAGGGAGATCAAGCAGTGGAGAAGATGACAAAGATTCAGAAAAATCCAAAAGTAGTGATGAAGCATGGGAGGAGCTAGACATGAAAGCGGCAAGCCAAATTCGTTTGTGTTTAGCTAAAAATGTTCTTGCTAATGTGATTGGATTGTCTACAACAAAGGAGTTGTGAGAGAAGCTTGAAGAGTTGTACCAAACCAAAACTATTTCAAATAGGCTATATTTGAAGGAGCAATTTCATAAATTGCAAATGGACGAAAGGACAACTATTTCTGATCATGTGAGTGTCCTGAATAGGATTGTTTCTGAATTGGAATTTATTGGAGTGGAAATTGATGATGAAGATAAGGCACTTCAACTCATCTGGTCTCTTCCAACTTCCTACAAGCATATGCAACCCATTTTGATGTATGGGAAGGAAATTGTGATCTTCACAGAAGTGACAAGCAAATTGATTTCAGAAAAAAAAAAGATTGAAGAATGGAAAGACTTGAGAAGATTCAGCTCTTGTTGTTAAAGGAAAATGGAAGCAAAAGAAAAGCTCTATGAAGAAGGTCATCTGCTGGAATTGTAATCAACCAGGGCATGGTAAGAATAAATGTCCAAATGGGGCTAGTTCGGCTGGAAGCTCCAAAGGAGATGCTGCCAATGTAGTCTCCCTATAAGAGGGGATGATATTTCCTTGTAAGAAATATAAGTATCCTCATGGCATGAATGCTACCTTGAGAATTGCCATGGAAGAGGATGTTTAATTGGTAGCTAGTCCACAAGTTTGCACATGAGCATTGGTTGATAGGTGATGCAAGGTGTGTGGTGGAAAAGATGTCGATGGCTAATGAACTCTCAAGAAATCAACAAGAGGGTTGCACCATAAGTTATTAGCAAGTTTTTCGACATGTGCCGAATTTGAAATTCTTGAAAATTGGGAAGTAATTTTCAAGTGAAAATTCTTGGATTGGTGATATTCAATCTGAGTGGAGATACTCTTTATGGTGGAGTAGGATAATTCTGGAATTAAGAATTATGATTGTCGGTAACAGACAATGTGAAGGTTGCAGTTGCACATGGTTGGCCAAAGTTAGAGCCACGTGTACACTACGTCAAAAACAGATGCTGACAACTGTTTCTTTTAGTAGTCTCTCGGTGCTGATTTCAGTAGTCTTCCGAGCAGCTGTCTGATATATTTACAGACTATTGTTTAAAAACAATTGTGTAAAATGGTTGACGACAACTGTTTTGTAATGTTTTAGAGTACCACTTTTTGGTGTTTTCTGAGTATGAATAAGACATCTGTTTTTTAGAGTTAAAGAGAACTGTAATTTTTTGTTGTCTATCTATAATGAATAATACTGTTGTTTTTAACTTCAGACTCCTAATTCTTGGTGTTGTCGTTCAACAATATAGACATCTACTTTAAAAAGTATTTGAAATATACATCAGACTGCTGCTCGGAAGACTACTAAATAAAAATAGCATCAGACAACTGTTATCTTTTGTTGTATTTCTAGAATATGGACTACTAACATTATTCTTATTCAAACTGCTATTTTTTTAGTTGTATATTGATTATTAATACAACGGTGTTTTGTAGCTTTCCTTGAAGTATTCAAACTATCTTTTATGACAGTAGTTGGATTGTTTATCAGACAGCTACTCCAAAGATTACTAAAGAAATTTAATTCAGACAACTATTATTTCACGTCGTATTTTAAAAATATGAACTACTATTTTTGTAGTATTTCAAACAACTGTTTGTTTCGATTGTCTAAATGTTTTTAACACTACGGGTTTGTGTAGTTGTACATACACTTTTCAAACTATTAATTTGAATGGTAGTTGAATTTTTTATTAGACATCCGTAATGTTGTGTTGATTACCAAATAAATATAAATTCAAAACATATAATATATTGAACAATATATAAATTCATACATTTAAAATATTATTAACATGTAATAATTTAATATTTACATCATCTTCCTTACAAATTACATATTTTACATACCTGCCTCTTTAATCCATCCTATTCCTATGATACAGGTTGTTGCTCCTACAGAGGAACAAGCGAGGAACCCAATCCTTGAAAATCTTCGTGGATTGAACTTGAATCTCCCACCTGCCACCAGAAACCCAATAACTCCTGAAATGATTGTTGTGAATCAAGAACCAATTGTTGGAGACAACTACATAGAACGTATAATTGAACCTAATATTAAAAAACAATAAAAATGCGTGAATGTGGTAACTGAAACTAGTTGTACTTCAAACACCTCCTTCACGCACAAATAAACTTTTTCATACAGTTTGATAATAATATCCATACCTTTTGGAGTCCTTGGTTCTAGTGTGATTTTTCATTCCTCTCTAATGCTTGAAAAAATTATGGCAAATAATCATCCAAGAAATCTGTCAAAATATAGTGAAGGTAAAAGACTAATGAATTAAGCCAAACCTTTAATTAGGATAGAATACAAAACACCATCTGATTAAAGTACGCCTACATCTATTCGGATAGTCTTCAATGCATCCAATAAATAGTCTTCAATACATCTATTTGAATTGTTCACACTATAACAAATTATTCTTTTAAGATTTTCACACTATGTGAACATAGAGCTGAACATACTGATGCTTAGATTAGGACCCCTCATTGAATCATTATCATACAACAAGAAGAAAAAATTTAAAACATATTAACTAGTTCTGTAATCCTTATTCCTATCCAATAAAAATACCTTCAACACACACATCTTGGTGAAATCTTTGTTCAATACTTTGCCTGAGTTCTTGCTATAATGGTTCAAGCCACCATTACAAGCTATTATGGAAGAGAAACATAGCAGAAGGTAGCACACGCCAAGCCCAGGATAGTCCTCAACAGAACAAAAATAATAACAAAGAACATGAACATGAGACAAATAATATCAAGGAATTCAAACCTCACAGAGTTAATAATATAAGGTCTCTGTTGTACAGTAATAGGTTGTAGTAACAAAGCTACCGTTATTGGTTAATGCTATCTTTAGTTACCTCTAAAAAAAGAACACAAGATTCAGCTTAGAAATAAAGAAAAAGATGCAGATTGTTCAAAATAAAACAACAATTCAGCTCAGATATTATTCAAATTCAGCACTTAAAATTCAAAAATCAACTTCAGCCCAAACCAATCTGCAGACTTGCATAACAGTAGCTAGCAAGCAATTGGAACAAAGTCAGTGTACAGCAGCAGTAAACACCAATGTCACAGCAAAAACCAGACCCATACATGCCCAATGGTACACACCTAGAATTCCAGAAGCACACAAGGTTCAGAGCAAGAACAACCATAGTACCATTCATCCAAGAAATCAGAGAAGCAAACAAAGTTTGTTCAAACGCCATTTCAAGGTCAACACAAACAACTCTTCAACAGACCAAACGAAACTCCATAGAATTAATCAAAGAACAAGCATGAAGACATACAAAAAGATGTCCAATGTCCCGAGATGAACAGTGAATACGTAATCACAAGAGATCCTCAAATCGATTGAAAAATCAATTGGATAAGGAATTTACATTCATACCTTGAAAGGGAGCTTAAAACACTCTGAAATTCAGAGATGTAGCCTTCAAAATTGCTTGGACCAACATGAGGTAGGGACTAATTCGAACCATGACATTTGCTTGTGGTTTATTTCGAAGTTGATGTGAAGGGGGGAACCAGTAACCTTGTGCCTGTTGTGCCTTGGATGGACTACGCCAGTGGGAAGGACTGCCCGTTTGACTACACTGTGGATTTTGCTTCGTTGTTGTGGTATTTGGGTGATCGCCGGCTGGACAGTGATAGGATTTGCCTCAACACCATGGATTTGCTGCTGCCATTGATGTATGGGCAGTGAGAAAGCTAATTTTGATGGAATTTGGAGGTCTTTGAGCATGATCAAACTTGATGGTAACTAAGGTCAAGGGCTGTTCTTGGTTGCTGTTTCCAGCATGTTGATGTTGCTACTGTTCATGGCAGTCCATTGCCGCAGATGCCTACACGAGTTGGGGCCAAAGGGGTAAGGTAATGGACAGGGGCAAGCTGCTGGAATCTCATTTTTTGACTGAACTTTTGGCCCAACAAATTTGGGCAGTGGTCGGATGGAATTGAAGTGGGTTTGACACTGGTTTTGGACGGTTTGGGATGCCCTACTGCCTATAAACATTTTGGGCAGTAAGTTCTCAAAGCTGCTGGAATTTGATGATTTTTGCTGTTTTTTTGCCTGATGTGGTATTCGTAGTTGACTTTGGATTTGGACATTGTGTGGGCGGAATCTTGCTGTTAGCCCTCGGTTTACCTCTTTCATGGAGGTATTACCAATTGTTTTTGAGCTGGGTTTATGTTTATTTTGCCATTTGGAGGTATTATGTTATATCTTGGGCCCGGCCCTATCCTATCCTCCCCCATGTCCCACACTCCCATGGGAACCGAAGGACTTATGTTCAAACATTATGATCCATTTTAGTAACAATTCAAAGTCCTTTAACCCGGAAGGCCAAATAACTTTCGTTTTTGACCTCGGGGTTCCGCTGGCCAATCCTCTTTTCGTCCAACCCAACCCCAAATATCCAAAAGTATTTTATTTCCTTTTGATATCTAAAATAAAGTTCTTCCTACTCTTATTTTAGCCCCAGGCCGAAAATAAGAATGTGTAAAATAAAACCTTTTGTTTGTTGTTATTTTCCTTCTTTAAAAGCCTTTATTGAGCCAATAAAACCCTCCCTTTATTCCATTCACCCCCTGGCCAAAATACACTTCACAATCCCAACATAAACACCCACAAAGAGCCAAAACCATGACCCACCTCCAGCCTTCCTGCCCATGTTTCCCTCACAATAACCCAAATCCATAACTCCAAAACACCCATAAATAATACCCAGCCCTGTCCCCTTTTATTGGCCAAAACATCCCCCCATTTTACCCAAATAATAGCCACAAAAAACCCAGGAAACAACCACAAGGAACCAAAACACAAACCCCCACAACACCAGCCCCATCCCTGAATTTTATCCCACTAAGGAGACATGTTTGAATGAAGAATGCCCCATGCTTTGAGAGAGGATGTTGCTAGGAAGCTTCCTCATGTTCACATTCAATGTATTATGTATTTTCTCCTTCCCCTCTCCCTATATAACTCAGGCCATATGGCCATTGTAACACAAACTTTGAATATTAAAACTCCCTTTTACTCTTTGAGTATTTATAAAATAGTGTGATGTTATTTTAGCCAAATTCCTAATTCTATATCTTAAGAGTGGTTATCTTAAGTGTGAGTTTTAGGTTCTAGATATTTGATTAAGTGTGTCATATCTTAATTAAATACTAGAGTTCAACCCCAAGTTAATCTAGAGGTGAGCTTATCCTTTAGTATTAATTTGGCTCCAAATTAAGATAAGAGTGTGTTTATCTCTTATTCCTTATTTGGAATTTATCCCATCCTTTCTAAACCCATCCTTCATCCCTGATTTTCCACTCTTCTTCATAATATCAAAACCCAAAAAGAACTCCTTCACATTCCCATATTTTCATCCAGCCCATTTCCCCTTCATTATTCCA